GAAACATTTTATTGCTTAAAAATTATATTTAATGATTTTTGAAAAATTGTTTAATAATTACGGAATAATAAATTTGTTTAGTACTTACTGAATAATAAATTTAAACAATATTTAATAAATATTGAAAATTAAACATGGCAAAATATCCTCTAACTATAAGTGTCCTAACAGATTACCAGATTTTAATGGTGTCACCATTTGACGTACCATAGCATTTTTAGTTTATTCTTGAAATTAAAATTATACATTGTTTAAAAAATGAGCTTTTAAAAGTAATATGCGCATTAATCAAACATCTAACAAGTATTGTTTTAATTAACATATAAAAAAACCTGTCCTGGAAAAATGAAATCCTTACGACAATGCCATGGAAAAGGGCCGACGAAGAATGGAAAAATTCTAGATGCCATTTATTATCCAATCACTTTGGCGAGTATTGCCACTGTGTGAAACATGAGACCTTAATTTATCTTTCGCTCTCCATTGAGCAAAGCCAATTCATTTATAATCTTATGATTAAAGACCTTAAGCTTTCTCAAGTCCCCAGGGGAAGTTAATAACGTTAAAATGTGTTCTAGAAAAAGAACTTACGTTGGCTTGCAAACTGAATAATAATCCTTATATAAGCGAGCAAAGCAACAATTAGTGCAATTTCAAAAAAGAAACTATTGAGTTTATGTGATTTTCTTTTTGGATTAATTATTTCACAAACGTTGGGAAATTGTTGTAAATTAGAGGCAAGAAACTGTGTTCCGAAGTTTAAACAGAGATCAGCACCCACATTGTTGATACTATGAAAGAACAAAGGAATGTGAAAAAAATACCTTCCTAAGTGAGATAAAGTGAAATGGAAAGGCGAACATGTTTTGTAGATTTATCAGCATATCCAAAGAACTTTCGTAAATCTTCTGAAAAGTTAAAATTTAAAATTGTAGAAGCGATAGATCCTGCTGAACTTAAAAATTGGAATTCTAATTGTACGAAAAGTAGATAATGGATATGTCATGATAGGATGTATAAAGAAAGAATTAAAATAAATAAACTGGATATAGAAATAAAGGAAAATCCACTGTTGATAAATGATCTGCAGACTAAATTTCCTGCAAAGAAGAAATCCGAAAATAATATTGTATGATATTGACGGAGAAAAGAAAACAGATGAAAATAAAGAACCCACTAAACGGCAAGACAGGATTTTTAAAGATGGAAAAATTGATCTGCCGTTGTCAGTAAAAGCAAAAAATGGCAAGTTACATTGGATGGCTGGTGTTCAGTCTGAAAAGTTTAGGTCTGTGATAGAGATTGAAAAGACTAATCTGAAATGGTTTCGAATATTACTAAAGGAATAGCTAAATGTTGCTTGGTCAAGGATTAGTAAGTTTTCATTTAAGGTGTAATAAACAGCTGATACATGTTCGATGCTCAAAATTGGGCTACACTACAAGAACTCTATAGAAAAGCCAAAATGTATTAATTGTAAAAATGCAAATATAAAATGTATTTAAAATTAGATATGTAGCATTCTAGCTTCTAAAAGAATTGTTGATATTGCAAGAGCCAATATAACTTTTAATTCAAAGAACTAATTAAGTTTAAAAAGAAATTACATGAAGAATATAAATATAAATATTTATAAAGTTTTGAGTTCACATTGACTCAAAAATTTCGAGTTCACACTCGCTGAGTATGAGTAATTAAAGTTTATAATAAATAAATAAATAAGCTATATTTACATACACGATTTGTACGAAATATGACAAAAAAATCTAATGTGAAGGAACTGTTTTATACATTTAGTAACTTGTGTAACTGGTGCGAAAGAGTAGTGTTAATATGCTTATGTATAAGTTGTTATTTGGATTCAAAATATTAAGCAAACTGTTATGTTAAGTTTTACATGTTTAATTAAGTTTTAGATTATACACTCATGTCCATAAATTAAGGATAATGCAAAATCAGGCAAAGGGAGAGTTAGAAGCAAAACAAATTTGACTTGTTTGTAAAGCTTATTTATTAAACAAAAGGTAAAGAGCAAAATGATGCTATAATGTTTATATTATAAAAAAAAATTAACGATTTTTTCTCCCTGGAGCAAATTACAAAAAAAAAAAAAAAAAAAAAAAAAAAAACCTATTTACAAAAACCAATATTACATTGGTTGGTATGATTGTTAAATACATTGTATGTCTCCAGACGATGCAATACAGTCCGTACACCGCCTAGGCATGCTGAGCATCAAATTATCGATCTGATCTTGGGGGATATTACACCACTCAAAAAGCAGTGCTCTCCGAAGTTCCGGTAACATTAGGAGAGGAGGTTGACGGGCTGCAACTCGTCGGCCAAGCATGTCCCACACGTGCTCTACTTGATTCAAGTCCGGTGAGAATGCTGGCCATCTCATACGGGTGATATCCTCCGATTGAAGGCATTCGCTTACGATGTTTGCACGGTGAGGATGGACGTTACCATCCATAAACACAAATTGTGCGCCCATGGCGCCCCGAAACAAGCGTACATGTTGTTCCAGAATTACGTCCCGATGGATTTGGCTTGTCTTGGTTCCAATTTGAACATGCAGATCAGTTCTGGAACCCAGAATAATTCCACCCCAAACAAGCACTCCTGCACCACCGTAACGGTGTCGTTCAATGATGTTTTCTTGGTGGTAACGGGTACCTGGAGCTCTCCATATAAAGTCCGGCAGAATCAGACTGCAAGCTAAACCTGGACTCGTCGGAAAAGATCTCATAAACCCCGGTTTGCGTGTGCACAATGCAGCTCTCTACTCCAGGCTAACCGCAGGCGACAGTGAGTTGCAGTAAGTGGAACGCATCTGACAGGTCTACGAGCATATAGACCAATCTGCTGCCCTAGCGTCTGTACATGGTCCTGCCTTGAAATTGTCGTACCAGTGGCTGAAGAGAGCTGGACGAGACAGGTCTGAGGCTGTGCTCCGCCTGTTTCTTTTTGGGCAGTAACTGCCAATACCGGTCCTCATTCGGCGTTGTAACTCTGGGCGACCTGTGCTGTAACGTCTACTCACATTACCATCATCTTCGAATCGTTGCCAAAGCCTGGAGATGACACTCTGGGCAATTCCAAGTTCGTCTGATACTTCCATTTGGGTACGCCCACATTCCAGAACGGCCGATAAATTCTACCACGTAAAAAATCATCCAAATGCGTCCTTTTTGTCATAACTATTCGGTTATTGCACTGAAATGTTTATAAGCGCCTGCGAAACAATTTTACTTCTTTGCCTGTATTCCTTGTATTCACTTCTCTTACACTTCTCGTCATTGTGACGTACCATCGGTGTCATCTGGTTACTTCCTGAAATTTTGCATATGATTCTTGAAGATGTGTGTATTGATTTTACAGGTGATATATTTATTTTAGAGTTCGATTTCCGCGTGACTCCGAATTATCCTTAATTTATGGACATGAGTGTAATTTAAGTACTGTTTGTATGTCAAGATGTATGTACATTTGTTTATTAATTAATGTATTAGTTGGTGGTTTCAAAAATGTTCCATATAATTAAAGAACGCCCAAGGCATTGTGGTTGTAGTTTAAAATATAAAATTAATAGTTCTGCATATCCCGACTTAACTCTTTGCGGCACAGTGTGTTCGGTCTGGGCACACCTAAAAATTTCCTTCTGTACGCACAGAAAAATTGAAGGAAAAAGGATTTATAGGTTACTCTGACCCTTCTTTATTTATAGTAGATGGCAGCTCACAAACCAGTCCATATATTTTAGCCATGTTTAGTTTCTTAAGACCCTCATTTTTCCAAGAAATCTTCCAGATTTTTTTTAGGGTATAAAAGGAATTGTCTGAAAAGAAATTTCTATGTTGTTTTTTTTGGCTGTATGCTAATTTTCTTATTCTATATTAGTTTTAAATTTTTACCTTGGAATCTTGCCTAAAATCAAACGGCGAACCCTAGGTGTGCGCAGACCGGGTTCACCGATAATCTAGAACAACTGAAAGTCTATATTCTTTGTTTCTCCGCATCTCATCGGTCATTTCATTCACAACAATGCTCGTTTCAGCTCTCTTTTCGAAGCTCTATTCAATCAGTGTGTCCACTTTGGACACACCCACATAATTAAAACGATAAGCGCTATCTTCACAAAATTTTACTTGTGTACTCCTCTAGGCTTAATTAGACTGCCTACCTTTTTTTTTTTTTTTTTTTTTTTAAATCAAAACTCCAACTTTAAAAGGTAGCGTGCCGGAAAGGGTTAATCAAGGCAAACAGATATTCCAGTCTTACGCTTTGCCAAATAAAACCGAAATCTGCCATTCGGCAAAGCATTAGATTTTCAGTTTATTTTTATTTTTATTGATTACAGATCTTATGTTTTGCTGAGTGGTACCAAATCTTGCCATTCAGGGAAGCATAAGATTTTCAATTTATTTTCAACCTTAGTCAGTCTATTATCATTAATGAACTAAGCGAACGAAAAGAAATACTCCTATTTCTTAGAATAATTTAAAATTTTCTTTAAGTTTTCTAATAATGAATACAACTGATATAAATTAAAGTATGTTAATTAAAAATATAGCCAACTAATAATTTTCATGAACATTAGCAGTTTTTTTGTAATTAAAGAAAGATATTTTAATGCTATATCTTACGTTACTGATAAAACTTCTTTTATTTTAACAAACTTTTACAAAATGCTATTTTTTAATATTTTAAAATACATTTTTAAAGATTTTTAATGATAAGCTTTTCCTCAAGGTGCTATATTAAAGTACACTTTTTGGATTGACTTTTTTGCTTTTTTTATATTTCCATTTTATTTTTAATGTCCTTTGGGGCGGAGATAATTCATAATGATTATGTAAGTCATATAATTCAAAAGATATAATTTTTTAAAATTTTGCACTGCTTTTATAATTATTACATATATTATTAAAGTCATATATTTTATAACCTTGCACTCTTGCATACCTTTTTTTCTAATCACTTGTAATAACTTTCAGTTTCTTGCGCTGGACTCCACCAGTAGCCGAGTGTTAAGACCGCTGAACAGTTGGAATTCGACACGGATTCGATCCTGGGTGAACGAGCTGGCTGCGTGGTTGATTTTCGTCGTTTTCCCCATGTGCAAAGTAAATACGAGACAGTTCCCAGACCCCCGGCATGTGTAATGTGAATACGAGACAGTTCTCAGACCTTCACCTGAGGCAAAGCGTAATATAGTTAAATACGCGCCCCTATATAGAGTAAAATTAACCATTATATTCATCAAAGGTAATTATTTTATAATATGTAATTATTATAATTTATATTACATATATTTATGTTATTATATATCTATATATATTATATATATGTTATATATATATATATATATATATATATATTATATTATATTCTAATTATGATTTTTTAAACGTTATAAAATATTTCTTTCGCCTTCTTAGCATGCCTTCGTAGTGTAGTGGTCTGCACGCTGGGCGCCTATTCCAGAAGTCCGTGGTTCGATTCCCGGCGAGGGCGTTGCTCATTTTTCACTTCTGCTTGAAAAAAAAAAAAAAAAACTGATGTCTCTACAATGTAGCCATGTATAATTAAGAAAAGTAATATTAATTATTTAGAGTTTTTAAATGAAAATCATTAAAAAATGCGTTTCTGACGATTAGCAGATAAAACTAAAATAGCATAAATAATTGTACAATTGATATAAAAAATGCAATAATTTTGATTTTAAAAACTTATTTTTCCCTGCGTTTAATGACACAAAATCAGGGTTTTAAGTATTTTTTTCCAAAATTATTTGATTGCTTAATTTATGTTTTATAGAAAGATGGTTCCTCTTGGCCAGGTGAAGATTTTACGTAAATTTAAATTCTTTATTTTACTGAAGATTCTCTTACCTCCAACAAGAGTAGCTTGGCAGTGCTAACGTAAAGTTCAATGCAACATATTCTGATAGACTGAACTAATCAGCATTCGTAAATTATTTATGAAAAACTTAAGCTTAAAGCAGCTTCTGACATAATTGGTTACCAAATTTAGAAATTTCCGGCAAAAATTTTGAAGCATTTATTTCATTTGGATATTTAAGTGTCATTAAGTCATAATCTGGTTCTTTTAAATTACCTAAATCTAATTATATTACTTTTTTCACCAGTTAGAAAATGTATTTCGAAAGACATTCCGTTTAATTTTTCTCATCTCCATTTTGTTTGTCAAATTAAAATATCTATCCCTTATCACATCTATCATCTATCTGTTACTTCCACGATAAAAAAATAGTTTCTGAAAATTAATTCTCTTATTAATATATTCTTACTACCCGATTTATTAACTTTTATTCCAGTTTCTTTTCATGTTTTGATATATTCATCGACAAAGCTAAATTTTTACATTTCTCAGGAATATTTATTCTCATCTGCCGTACAAAAATGATTATTTCCCTTTTATAATTCCTTCTTTGTTTCATTCAATACCGAGAAACCTACTAAGACACGGCTAAGGAAAAGGATGCCACTATGAAAATTTTCTAAGGATTATGCCTGGCCCACATTTACAGTTCACATGGAGAAAACTACGAAATCCCATTCAATGGTATTCGAACCCAGGACTGAAATTGCCACTCTATGTGCAGACACAGTTTTAGTTTCTATTTGCAAAACTTTATTTATCTTTTCTCTTTGTTCCAACATTAAGTTCCATGCACATAACATAAATTTTATTTTCATCAAAATGATATTACCTGAAGCTCACTGTGGTGATTTGAGCTTTTGTATAAGTATGAAGCAATACTAGCTGAAGAAAGTAAAACACGAGATACTGATTTTTCTGCCTCATTCCATTCTTAACAGAAGTGTTTCAGGACTAATCATAAATGAAACGAACTGCACAGTTCTAAGGAAAACTAAATTTGGATACAACTTAACAAAAGTTCAAGCTATGCAGATTTTTTCATAATCTATTTTATAACGGTAAATAAAGCAAGCCAGAACTTTGTAACAAAAATGGAGAAAGAGACTCATATATTGAATTATTATATATACATAAGAATATTTCATTTTTATAAATTTGTATTCCTGATAAGCTAAGGAGTAAAAATTTTGCGCACACAATGTTTCGGATGACAATACAATCTGGTGCAGCGAATTTTAAATGAAAGCTTATTTTATATATTCTTTATTATTTTTATGAGACATCCTAATTCAATCTTTGTATGCCATTCCAATGAACTTTTGAGCATTAGACTTGCTGAAGCAACTATAGAGGCAACACTCAGTTCACGAACTTGGATAAGCTTGTTCTATTGTTACAGCGAAATAAGAGTGGTAAGAGCTACAGTTCATGTTAGAGGAAGACAAAGCAGAGAATTACTGATGTCGGCAACATGGGCACGGTTGGTTCTATGTAACTGATTACCATAAAGGTAAACCAACTTCGTTGCGATTATTCAAAAAATAAATTTTAATGTTGGAAAATTATTTACTGTACAGTACTGTGAAGCTGCAGCACGCTGGTACAGCAAATTAATCCCGCTAATTCTCTTCTTTTTCAGCTGCTGTTTGTAATACAAAATTCTTTTTAATCCTTTTTTTAAGAATTAATGGAAACCATGTGATAAAAAAATGTGCATTTAAGAAACTTGATTGCAGTACAGTAATAAAATAAATCAATTAATTCATATTTAAGTAAGTTTGCAGTTTATTATGTTTACGTTAGGCTATGTCTAAATGTCAACTGAGAGGTGCCTTCCTGACCGACAAGATGACTACGAGGAGAACGATTAATGGAATTCAGATAGGTAGCCATGGCCTATCTGATTTACTGATAGATGTAGCACAGAAAAGGAAAAACGCATCAGGGATCCAATGCTTTTAAATTATCATAAATAGTGCTGATAAAGTTTTGTTACGTTAAATATGTTTTAAAAATAAGTCTTTCTGATGTGTTCCAAAGTTGAAAGTTGACAATCATAATTTTTTAAAAAATTAATCTGATTTTTCATAGTTAATTTCCCGCCTCTTCTAATTTTTCAAGTGCCTCAGTCGCCTGACCTTTGTCCCGGTTCTCACAGCTCCCTTCAGAAAGTTCTCCACGACTGTCTTTCTTCCCTTACGTAGATAGCTGTCGTATTTTGATATATTTCAGTAACCTAATTTAATCTTTCACTGGAGTCATGATTTTAAGTTGCTGCTCTGTATAAGGTATTCGCCACTGGTAAGAAGTCACACTGTGCCGTATTTAAGAAAGTACAAATAAGCATCACTACTAACCATCGGATTTCTAGGACAACCAAAACCATTTGGAATCGTATATGATTAAAAGCGAGAGTTTATTGCATTTGTCTTTCCCCATCTTTGTTATCTCGAATGCATTCTTGGTTTCTTTTTTAGTGTTAAATCGTCTTCAGCATTAGTCCAGTACAGCTATATTATATCGAGCTATCAAGCTTCTCGAAAGAAACTAGTGTTTCTTGTCAACTAGTGTTTCTTTATCTACTTTATTTTTAATTTGATTATACATACTTTCGAAAACAAGCGCTCAGTGAAAACTTTTCAATTCTATAAGCTTGCAATAATTTTTAATATGAAATGCATGCAAATAGCAAGACAAATTTAATAATGATATTAGACGTACAATTTGATCAATAACGCTGTCTCAACAAGTGATATTTTAGAAAAGGGTGAAATGGATAATATTTAATGTGGGACAGATAAGCGTGGCACAGATGAATAAATTTAGATTAATTTTAAAAAGAAAATTGAAGAGAAAGATACCGCTGCCACTCACAGCAGTTAGGCTTCTGTACCCTGTGATTACTGACAATCATCTCATAAGTTCACTAATATGGAAAAGGCAGGGTAAATTTAGGTAAATTGTTAAAACGAAATAAAACAAAATGGAGTTTCTCTCACCGAAAGCCATCGTTGATTATGAAGCTGATGGTTACCTGTGACCATTAAGTCCATACAACTCTGGTAACCCATGGCTTTCGGCTTGCTAGTAAAGTCCCGAGCAATGTTGTTGTAACGGCAGTATGTGCTAAAGCAAGTTGATGATAGGCACTTCAAATTATAATGCAACGTGACGTCCTAAAAGTTTTGGATAGATGTGCATATAATGTCGAAAATAGCACCAAAAACAGTGAATGATAACAGTGATAGTGAATTATTTTATGCTGTTATTTTCTTTCTTAATTTATTTATACATAAAAGTTTTATAAAAAAAATCGTTTTTTTTTTAATTATATCACCTTACCCATTTAAGGTTACAAACTTTTATTTATTAGTCCAAGAGGGCAATTTGTCCAGAAGGGCTATTAATTTCGTTTTAACATTTTATGTTGATTCACTATAAACAGCGAATCACTTGTCACTTTTTAAATTGTTGCCACCAAATATTAGAACCCTGAATTATATTTAAAGAAATTAAATAATGAACAATCTGCATAAAAGTATGTATGTTTCTGGCATTGTGATAAAACAACGGTACCTAGACCCATCCAATTTTGAATAACACACGTCTCCACCCGAATATGGGCATCTGGAAGCCCAAAGTTGTAATTTATTTTATTATCTGTTTCATATTTTGCAAAGCATTTATAAGCTTTTGATTAAGAAACTCAACGATTTCAAAGTAAGCAATGGCAGCGCTGTACGGGGGAAAAAAATTATCTCCAATGCGCGAGACTTTGTATCAGAAACTCTAAAGCCACTCAAAGTGTAAATAAGTTCTTTTAAATATTTTGTGATTAAAACAACGCCCATATAAACACGCAATATAAAATCCGAAAGGCCTTCAGATTTTTTCTTTTCTTTAATTTAATTTAATTTTAAAAATTTTTTTATACGTTTATTTCTTTAGCATCGTAATAAAATAACAGGAAATTGATAAAACTGCTACGATAACGAAATTTGCGTTATGAAATTGTACAAACTACACAACCTTTTGGAAGCCATTTTTCTATGGGAAACGGCACTTGAAATTCCTAAATAACCTTTAAAAAAAGAATACCATATTATTACTCAAATGCTTTTATTTTAATAAATTAGATTTTCAGGACAATTAATAAATTATCACAACTAGCAAAATTCTTCCAAGTACATTTCCGTAATAATATTTGACAATCATAAACATTCTTTTACTCTAGTAACTTGTGAATATGAGCATCTGTAGTCTTTGCTATTCCGAGAAATTTCTTCCTCCTTCAACGACTCGTATAATTTTAAACCAGGCACCGGAGAACTGACTTTTCTGACAGACGACTGCACTAATAG